CTTATGCCTACCAGTTTCATCATAGGCTCTTCAGGTTCCTCAATGAATGTTGAGAGAGCAAAAGAGATGGTTGTGGTGTAAGGGAATGGAAGAGACAGGATGAGAAACAGGATAGAGGACATTGTGGTAGAGAGAAAGAGAGAGAGAGGGAGGGAGGGAGAGAATCAGCATCCTAAAAAGAAGTGTTTCTCATGACACATTGCATTATCTGTGATGATCTCACAGAGACCATTGACTCAACATCCTTTATTTTCACACATCCCTTTCATTAAATTAGGGAAGAAAATATTTCTTCCTCCAGGAGTTATAAAGTCCCTGGTGCAGCAGTTCAAGTTACAGTAATGATTTTATAATTGGATTTATATACTTTTTGTTTTATTAAAATAATTTTCAGGGCTGGGATGTACCTTAATGGCAAAGCACTTGCCTACTAAGTGCAACATCGTGGGTTCAATACTCAGTACCAAAAAAAAAGAAAAGAAAAGATGAAATTTTTTTTTTCAAACCTTGCTGCTTTAAAGTATTTCTGGTTGGTGTGGGTGTCAGCTTTACAGTATCAAGATCAATGTCAATCTAACAAGACTTAATAGTCAAAATGCCAATTGAATAATATACTGAGAAAGACTAAAAGTCCTACTGTGGTTCTCTTAGCTGTCAACTTAGTCTTCTTCTGAAGAAGCCAAATTTCTATTGGAAAATAGTTCAGGGCATGTTAAGGAGTTAATTGGTTTCATTAACTGAGCACATCTTTTCTGCATTTCATTCTGTGCCAAGTATTGAGCAAAGTACTAGCATTAAGACAGAATTATAGCTGGGCAATCGTTGTGCACTGGCCTATAATCCCAGGTACTTCAGAAGAGGAGGTTGAGGGGACCATGGATCATAGTCAGCCTGAACAAAAGTTTGCAAGACACTATCTCAACCAATAGCTTAGTGTGGTGGTGCATACCTGACACCCCAGCCATACAGGAAGTGTAACTGTGATCCCAGCTATATCAGGATTGTGGTTCCAGGTCAGCCTGAGCATAAATGCAGGAGACTATGGCTGAGGGAGCATGGCTGAAGTAGCAGAGCACCTGCTCAGCAAATGTAAGGCTTTGAATTCAAACCCGAGTACAAGAGAGCAGGGAGCAGGAAGGGAGAGATTTTTCTACTTTTCAAGAGTTATGTAAGCCATTAGTAGTAGACTAGTAGAATCAGGTGCTTAGTGCTACAGAAAACGGATAAACAGTACTGGCAGGGAGGAGAAGTGAATGGTTTAACTTGTAGGAGAGTAGACTGACGTGGACAGGAGAGAGAAAACAGTGAGTGCTAGTGGGAGCTGTCAGGTTATGTTTTGGGTTGCCTTTTTTTTTTGTCAGTCGTGGGGGCTGAACTCTGGATCTGGGCGCTGTCCCTCAGCTCTTCAGCTCAAGGCTAGTACTCTACTACTTGAGTCACAGCGCCACTTCCAGCCTTTTCCGTTTATGTGGTGCTGGGGAATCGAACCCAGGGCCTCATGGATGCAAAGCAAGCACTCTACCACTGAGCCACCTTCCCAGCCCAATGAGATGACTTTTAATGATTACTGTTCTTAAGCCAAAAAGACTGACAAGAAATTGGTTCCTGAAATGCACCCATTGAGAAGACTAGAAAATTTATGGTGACCAGGCATGGCAGCCCCCTGACCACTAGTAAGTCCTCTAGGTGTGTAGCCTGTTGTGTTTATGTATTCTTCTAGATTCTGTGGTATGCAGCTGTGAATTTCAAACATCTGGTCTATGAATGTTGAGGACTCCAAAAAGCGTGTGTGTGTGTGTGTGTAGGATAGTACTGATGTTTGAACTGAGCAAGTGCTCTACCATCTATACCTCTAGTCCTTTCTTTGTATTTCATTTTGGGGCAGGGTCTTGCTAACTTTGCCAAGTCCCGTTGTAGAGTGTACAATTCTCCAGCCTCCACTACCACAGTAGGTGGTACTGTAGGCATTTGCCTCTATGCCTTAAGTAGTAGTTTGTTAAAGATTAGCTACCATTTAGTATCTGGAACCATGAGTAACTTTCTTATACTTTTTTTTTTTTTTTTTTTGCTGGTTCCAGGGCTTGAACTCAGGGCTTGGGTGTGCTGTCCCTGGAGCTTTTATGCATAAGGCTAGTGCTCTGCCACTTGAGCTACAGCTCCACTTCCAGCTTTTTAGTGGCTAATTGGAGATAAGAGTTTCATGGACTTTCCACTGGGGCTGGCTTTGAATTGCAACCCTCAGATCTCAGGTTTCTTGAGTAGTTAGGATTACTGGCACTTGGGTTTAATATACTTTTACATCAAAGTCTTTTACTAAAGCAGAATTTTGTAACATTATACTTGAGTCATTTGGAAAACATTGGCTCACTGTGTTATGTTATTCAGATCATCCAAATGTTGACACGCTGATTGTCTCAGGCACACACATTGCTGTCATGACTAGTTTCACCCCAAAAGTCCAAATTTGAGGAAGTTACAAGTTAATGTGAAATTTTTAAATTTTGTTTGAGAGGGTCAGATTTCATCATTGGAAACAAACAGTGGAGATTGTTTTCCTTGAAGTAACAGGCTCACTTCATTCATTTTCAAGAAAATACCTGTCACATACCCAATTCTGAATCAGCATAGCTGTCAGTTTTAGTAATGATTTCCCTGAAGAAAATAGCTATTTCAGCTCACAGTTCCATCAACCACTTATCTTTCCTTGAAACATGGTAACTTCAGCAGATAGCAGACATGTTTTATGCATACTTTCTCCATTTTTTTTTACCCTGTGTTTAAAAAAATCTGGACTCCAGGGCAAAGATACCTCCAACTCAAGTTTCAGCAGACAATTTTAAGAGAAAGTAGCCATTTCTCCCTTTAGCAAGAGTACACCACAGGAGAATGTAAGGCCCCATGGTTCAGTGCCATGCCTCGCACCTAACTAAAAGTGTTGTTTTACCTTTGAGGACCCCTCAGGGTCTTCATATCCTATTTTGAGAATGGCAGGTGTCAGTAGCTAAGAGAGTGAGTATGAGCCTAGCTTCTGCCACCTACTGGCTGTGAGAAATAGGTTACTGAGCCTCTCAGTGATTGTTTCCCCTCTGTAAAATGAGTATAACAGTTCTTGCTTCAATAAATTACTTCAATCTACCCAACAGTTAACCCATAAATGAGTATTTGTGGGATTCAATAGCTATTAATTGCATGAGTAGCTGATGGATTGGCTAGAGAAATGCCCACAGATCCACTTGTCCTGAAGTTGTCTCCTGTCTTCTAGATGTCTGAGACATCTGCCATTGTAATTATTCCTTTGTTACCCTTATAGTGGTAAAGTGGGAAATAACAGTTTAACGGGGTTAATCTTTTGCTACCTATGTCGTGGCAGGAAATAGCGTGGAGTAATGAGGGTCCCCTGGTCATCTGGCATGTAGGTGAGAGTGCTGAGTGAAGTGTCCTGGGGATAAAAGGGGAGGCAGTAGTCTTGCTCTCATTCACCCAGGTTTCTCTGACTACTGCTTTGTTGTGTATGATCTGCGCCCATGATTCTGGCATAAGTAATGGGGGTGCCCCCCCAAATCTCCAGTCCTAGGGGCAGTCTCCTCTGGAATACTACAACAATATCATTAGTTCAGACTTTTCCTGATGTTGAATTTTTGACTATTAAGAGGTAGGCAGTGCAGTGTACAGAAAGACGACAGGGCTCTGGAGTCAGGCCTGTCACAATCACAGCGTTTACCCTTTCTAAGCACCTGTTTAGGTTTCTGTAAAATAGGAATGCTAGTGTTTTATGAGGGGTTTGTAAGTATTAAACAAAATGGCATACCTCGCCTTCCTTGTGCTAGCTTTATTTATTTTAAACTCCATCTCTTAATTTATAGCAAGACTCTACCTCCTATTCAAACAGTATCATCATTACTTTTATTAAGAAGTTTTTAAGCGTTTAGGGGGAAAAATTAACTAACTGTAATCTCTGTAGTCATTGCCAGTGGCTCCCATTTGTAACCCTAGCTTCTCAGGAGGCTAAGATCTGAGGATCAAGGTTCCAAATCAGCTAGGCAGACAAATCTAAGAGATCCTGATCTCTGCTTAACCAGTAGCACATCAGAAGTAGAGGTGTGGCTACAATGGGAGAGCTCTAGCCTTGAATTAAAAACTCTCTTAAGAGAGAGTGTCCTGGACCTTAGTTCAAGACTCAGTCCCAGCACAGAAACACCAAACAATGAAAGATGTATCCTCTCCTTTCACAGGTTTTGGGAACCCCTGAGGGACAGGCTCTGATCTACCCTACTGCCTTTTTATTCACAAGCTCTGCCTGTGAGTAATCCAATTAGTGTTCTGTCTTTGGAGCAGAGTCCCAGTGCAACCCAGCCATTTCATGCCGTGTCTGCCCAGTGAAAGCAGGAGGGAACCAAGCTCCAAGCCACTGCTGGCACATAGCCAAGCCTCTACCCCAGCCCCAGGGCCTGCACTCTCCGGGCTGACACTCTTCCCCCAGGGTTCCATCTACCTTGCAGTTTAGTAAACAAATCCTCATTGTTCCTGGAATTTCTTTTTATTATTCCTATAATCCAGGTGGCTACACCTTTTTTTTTCTTTTTTCATATTCCTCTCGAGTTTCAGAGATCCTTATGATCTTTAAGGAATCTATATTCACAGCCTCCCTAGAAACAAGCTTCTGTATGTTAGAGATCAAAGAACTTCCTACTGACACAGAAGGAATCCTGCCAGTTGGACTTCCCTGTATGACATGCAGGTCTTGTTCTAATCTTGCTTTGGCCTTTGACTTGCTGTGTGGCCTTTGTTTCCTCTTTCAACGATAATATCTACCTCCCATGAATGTTGTTGAGTTCCACAAATGCGTAGAGTTGCTCCTCTTAAAGGCTGAAAGACAGGAATCAGATCTGCTGCAGTACTGGAGAACTCTAAGCACTTTATTGGAACCTGATCTGCACTTTTATCTTTGTGAGATAGATAAGTGGCTGAAGTTCATACACCTGCTTTATACCTTTAGAAACATGCCTGTCAGCACCTCATTTGAACAGTTCCTGCTCACTTTACCTTTGCAGATGCACAGGAAACTTCCTGAACGGAGACTGAGGAACAGTCCAAGGTACTAAGCAGGCTTTATGACAAGTCATGAATTCAGTTTGTATGTCTTATTTTCTTCTGTGGTCAGGGGCAGACCAGGCCTCCTCTAATTCTGGCTCTCTTTCCTGACTGGTAGAGTCCTATCTCTTGTGTCAGTCATTTGTCTCCTTGACCTCTGTCTGGCATTTGGCACTAATAATGGTATCACACCCTTCCAAAAGTTGGCTGCGACATTGCACTCTTAGAATCCTGCCTCTGCCTCTTTGACTAGCCTCTCTCTTTCACCAGTTTTCCCTAAATAAAGCCATTTGTGAATCTGAGACCTTTTCTCAGCACAGTCTTATCCTTTTTCGAAGTGACAGCCCAAACCAGCGTTTCGTCCTGAATTTCTAACTTCTTTTTGGACACTTCTTAGATTGTCTGGACTTGATACACATTCACCAGATATAGAATGAAATTTACTTTCTCTCCTCTATCGCCACTATCCACTAGGAAAAAAAAAATGATTGTCCTGCTGGATGAACCTAATTTTGTCAGAGGTTTTTGTCATTAGTTCAGACCTTGGAGTCATTTGAATGTTTCTTTTCCTCAACCTCCACATCCAGTCTGTGCCCTGTAATCCGATACTACACCCCCATCCACCGGACCCCTGCCCCCACTGGAGCCCAAACATTTACTGTCTGCATTTCATGAGACCATTGGTCTTCTGTGAGTCTGCCTGTGTCTAGTCTCAGGTCACCCCACTCGGACTGGCCTTTTGGAATCCTTTGTTTTGTTTTCTCTTCACTCCCAAACCGTCCCAGGGCCTTTGTTACCTTTGTGTAAATGATCAGTTACAACATCATAGCAAGCCCAGGCTAAGTGGCATAAAATGGACCCCACAGAGTCTTAGATTCTGTGGGTCGGGAATTGGGAAAGGGCATAGTGGGATGGTTTGTCTCTGCTCTGTGATATCTTAGGCCTTGGCTGGGAAGATAGAAAGGCCACAGTGATTCAGCAGCTACAGGCTCGCTCACTCACAGGTTTGGCAATTGGCTGCTGTCAGCTAGAACCTTCTCAGCTATTGGCTAGGACCACTGCCTCTGCCTGTAGTTGCTTTTTCTTCCTCCCTGCATGGTGGGTGGTGTTTTCAAAGAGCAAGCATTCCTAAGAGAAGCTATGGTTTAGCTTTAGAAGTTAGAGGCTCACTTTCCCTATGGTCACATACCTGACTTGATTTCAGGAGAGTGAACATAGAACATCATCTCTCAATGGGAGAAATGTCAGAGTCACACCAATGAGAAGAGCTATGGATGTAATTTTGATGCAGTCATCTAAGGGAAACCCAGCCCATTCCAAAATTCAGACTCTCCTAGGTCATCCTGTGGCTTCCTGTGAAACCTGACTGAGCTTACCTTTTAGATGGAACACTTTAATACCTACCCTTCACAGAGAACACTACTTGTGTGGTCTTTGAACCAAGTACCCATTATAAGAACCTGAAATACATTCTTGTCCCATCTAATAATTCTGAGTCAGTGGAGTTAAAGCAACTCTGCCAAAGGTCACTCAAACAGCTGGGTGAGCTTCAAACTTGGACCTTTGACTCTAGCCTCAATCTCCACGCTGTGTTGTCTCTACCTCTATCAGGGCTACAGAGGGAAGGGGTGATAACCATTATCCCTTCACTTTGTTCAGACTCTCACTTCTCACCTGTCTACTTGTAGTCCTGAGGGCTCACAACTCAAGGGAAACACTCCTGCTGGCTGATAACACGAGCCAGTTTAGTTACCTGGCCCCAGAGGGTAAGAAGTCACAGGATGATGACCTCAGAGACTATCTCTGTGTCTGCCTCTGTGTCAAACCTCAGTTGACTGACTGCTTTTGCTCCTGAGCTCTCTGGAAGACTCTCTTTCTCTTTTAGTTCTTTCCTGATCTGTGTCTTGGTGCTTCACTTAGGACTCCTTAGCTCTGGCATGCGCTTGCTCTCATCACCTGCTTATCAGAGCCCCACGTTGAAGTGCAGTGATTTAGCTAGTTGTAGTTTGGTTTTTCACTGGTGTAGGCTCTTCCGGCTTCCCCAAGTTTGCCCATACTAAACCGGCATAGCCCTCCTGAGGTAACCTCCTAATCTTACTTGTCCAGTTGCTTTTGCAAGCAGAATATTATTTGTTTGCCCCTACTTATTGGTTGGTTGATCAGTCTGTCAGTCAGTTGGTTGGTTTGGGAGTGCCAGGGTTAAACCTTGGACCTTATGCATGTCAGGCAAGCAGTCCATCGTAGAGCTACATGTTTCCCTTATATCCCCTTTTCTACCTGGATAATGTCCATTCTTTCTTTTAAGATTTAGGTCAGAGCTGGGCATGGTTGCTCTCACCTGTAATCCCAGCTATTCAGGTGGCTGAGATCAGTTCAGTGCTAGTTCAGGGAAAAAAGAAAAAGTTTGTAAAACTCCATCTTAATCAATCAGGTCATCCCAATTACTCAGGAAGTATCAATAAGAGAAATGTGGTGCAGGCCAGTCCAGGCAAAAAGCAAGACCCTACTTAAAAGCAAAAGAGTATTGGAGGTATGGCTCAACTGGTAGAATGCCTGCCAAACAAATGTAAGATCCCAAGTTCAAACCCTCAGCACCCTCGTCCATCCCTTCCCCCCGCCTCTCCAAAAGATACAGGTCTGATTCCCACTCAGATCCCTGAAGACTGTTTTCTAGTTCAAGGAACCCTCAGAGAAGAAGCTGCATGCCTGCTTAGAGCTGAATGTCAAAGGTGATGTCCTCTGAGAGGCTGACACGCAGCCTGGAACATAGTACCCAAGTGTCAGGAGTTTCCCTGGGCTGGTTGCACCAATAGAGACATTGGGGTACGAAGAAGCTTTCAAGGTCTTGAGACTAACAGATATGGCTTCTTACCCTAAACACTGTTATTATGTGTTTTTGGGAAATCACTCCTCTGGATGGCATGTCCTTACATATGAAATGAAGGTTTCCTGAGAGCTTTCCCAGCCCTAATACACCATGAAAATGACTTTTCTGATAAGCTTTTTGACTGCAGGCTGCCATGAAACCAAGTGGTGAATTCCAAGTATTAAAAATATCCAGTGTCATCATTTCCAAGGAATAGAAACTTAGTTGTTTTGGTATGTTTGGTTATGCCCCTGGTGTAGCTGACTATATTAGATGGAATCATAAACATGTCTGCAGTTCATAGATGTTTTCCACATAAACCCAAATGGATCCTGATTAACAAGACTTAACAGTTTTCATTAGATTTTATTCTTTGGTCTCTAGCCAGTAAGAACCATTTCAACAGTTTTCAACTCTTAGTCAGCAAAGGCAGGTCAAAAATGACATAGCCCTTTGAAGATGAAACAAAATAATGTTTTATGGTTGGCAGTTTTACCTTTGTTAGTATCAAGTCTGATCTTGGAAACACCTTATTGTAGGAGATTAAAATGACTCAGTTATAGCTATGTAATTATGCAAAACTATTTATTTGCAAATGGACATGTGTACATTTCTGTGTATATACATATAATGCATACATATTATATATATATATAAATAATATTAATAGTTACATACCATGGGGCCAGAATTCTCCACCTACCAACCCTCTTGTGAAGAGACCATTCCTACTGCTTTCTAAAGTGAGCACAGAATCTGTGCAACCACCACTAGATTGGTCCTGCCCCGCCCTGCCCCACCCCTTTGCTGGTACTAGGGCTTTAACTTGGTTTCATTCTCTTGCTTGGTCTTTCGCTCAAAGTTGGCAGTTTACCACTTGAGTCATAACTCCATGTCTGGCGTTTTGCTGTTTAATTGGAATAAAAGTCTTATAAACCTTTCTGCCTTGACTGGCTTTGACCCATAATTCTCAGAGCTTAGCCTCCTGATTACCTAGGATTACAGATGTGAGCCACCAGCACCCTTCTTGGTTTTTCTTAGTTCAATTAGGTTTGGATCGTATAGGTCTTTTGATTTAACTTTTCTGTCTCCAACCTCCCATCATAGAGCTTATTTCCAAGACAATTGTACTTCCTTCAGAAAGCACAAAATGACATAAAATTCCATATTTTAGCTATGGTAAATAATGCTGCAATAAACATAGTTGTGCTGGTAGCTTTAGTGTGGTCTTCTTTGTGAACATTTGGGTAAATGCCCAAAAGCGGGATTGCTGGGTCATGGGGAGCTCTATGTGGAGTATTTTGAGGAACCTCCATACTACTTTCCAAAGTGGTTGAACAAGTTTACACTCCCACCAACAATGCAGTAGGGTTCCCTTCTGTCCACATCCCCTCCAGCATCTGTTGTTATTAGAGTTCTTGATTTTAGCCATTCTAACTGGGTTGAGGTGGTATCAATGTTGTTTTGATTTGCATTTCTTTTATGGCTAGGGAGGTTGAGCATTTCTTCATGTGTCTATTGGCCATTCTTCTTTCTTCTTCAGAGAAGTTTCTCTTTAAATCTTTAGCCCACTTATTTATTGGGTAGTTGTTTCTTTGAGGATTTGTTGTTGGAGGATTTAATTTTTTGAGTTCCAGGTATTTAGATATGAGATACTTGTCCATTGTATGGCTAGTGAAGATCTTCTCCCAGTCCATGGGCTTTCTATTGATCTTGCAAGCTTTGTCCTTTACCATGCAGAAGCTCTGCAATTTCATGCAATCCCATTTGTCCAACCTTTCTTTGGAATTCTATGCCTCCATCAGAAAGAATGACATTGCCCCATTTGTTAGGAAATGGAAAGACTTGGAAAAAATTATATTAAGTGAAGCCAGGCCCAAATAAACATAGGTCCCATGGTTTCCCTTATTTGCAATAACTAATATATGTCTGAGACAGGCAGAAAAGGTCAGATAAGTTGATGTAGGTGAAATGAACCCCAAGATAATGTTTTTTCTTTCTTGCAATTGTTTCTAACGTATTTATAAGATGATTTCTTTGTTGCTTTGTATGACAATCCCCCATGGTATAACCCCTGCTTTCATTGAATTTGAAGTTGGTATAATTTGTGGAGGGGAAGGGAAAAAACAAATCGTTTA